TCGATGATGGTAGGGATATTTGTTTCTTTATACAGCCGCGGGTGGAAACGCCAGCAGCGGCGGGTAATTGGTGGGGATATGCGAAGCGTTAAGAAAAATGTTCTTGTTTTCCCGTCGGCCGGAGGAGATTGTTCAAATATGTTTTCGAAGTGATCGTCTTGAGGGGAGCATGCCTTGGGGCAAATGGATGTTCACATTATGCAGGATACGCAAATGCACGGTTTTGTCCCAATTGGGTTCTTCAAATGCAAATCCCAATCTTCCCACCGTGATTTCGTGCGCTGTAGCCCGTACGTTTTTGCATTTCTCTTCTTATGTATCCTCTTACATTCCTCCCCGTATCGTCAAAACTTTAATTTCGCAACCACTCCTGACCATCATTTGTGAGTGAGAATGCTCATTTGCCTCAAAACGCCATAGAATGCAATAACCATATCTTGGATCGCAATCAGACTCAATATCCCATCCGGCATGCTGATATTTTGATCATATTCTGTAATAATCCGTCCAAACTAATCAAATATAGTGTGTGTTATGTAACCCCGGCAGCCGGCCAAATAATCATACAAAATGCAAGCGACCATTACTGTTGGCGACGGAAATCAACAACCACATTCGCATCATTCATTCCTGACGGAATTGTGTCTAGTAGCCGCAGTAATTTGCACGGAAGTGATGAAGCTTCCCGTATCGTGCGCACGAAACAGAATCACCACCGCAACAACAAATGCACACTCCAATCGTTTGGTAGCCGGCCGTAGCTGTGTACACGTGTTCCAAATATGTTATTCCATATCCCTCAATATGCCTCTTTTTATTTCCATTCCCGCCACATTGAACCCCTCGTGTTGCAGATAAATTAAACACAATGCTCTGAATTACGCATTTAAAACTTGAAATGCTTCGTGCAAGGCGTCGTACGCCTCCTGGAAGCGGGCTGCATCTAAACCCTCCGAAAAGGCTGCGTTTTCGAACGCACCCCCAGAGAACGTCAGAAACTGTCAATCCAATCAAAAATTGAGTACGTGGCGTGCTCTGCGATGGCCGACCATTTTATCGGGGCCATACTTGTGGACCATCGTTGCCGTCGGCATTCATCCAATCAGTCTCGTGTGCACATCCTTGGGGTAATCCGTCTAATCCGCCCGCCTTCTTGTGGGGCCACCAAGCTGCGAGGCACGGGTTCGCAGCTTCCAGTACCAGTTGTAGCTTGTAGTTTCCAGTGTTACAATTCTGCCTCTTGCTGCTTACTGTAACTAGTTGATTGACCGCGCGAGGGGGAGGAGGCCCAAACGGGATTTTTAGCGTCTCCTGTGCGCGTTGTCTGAATTGCTGGGGGGGCTCGAAATCAGCACCCCTCACGCAGATCCGCGAGGTCAGGGACCAAAAACACAGAAGATTTGCCACATTTCTGAAATTCGGTGCCACCCCTGACGCAGATCCGCGGGGTCAGGGTCCAAAAACACAAGGGATTTGCCACATTTCTGAAATTCGGTGCCACCCCTCACGCAGATCAGCGGGGTCACGGTCTAAAAACACACGGAATTTGCCACATTTCTGAAATTCGGTGCCACCCCTCACGCAGATCCGCGGGGTCAGGGTCCAAAAACACACGGAATTTGCCACATTTCTGAAATTCGGTGCCACCCATCACGCACATCCGCGGGGTCAGGGTCCAAAAACACACGGGATTTGCCACATTTCTGAAATTCGGTGCCACCCCTCACGCAGATCCGCGGGGTCAGGGTCCAAAAACACACGGGATTTGCCACATTTCTGAAATTCGGTGCCACCCCTCACGCAGATCCGCGGGGTCAGGGTCCAAAAACACAGGGGATTTGCCACATTTCTGAAATTCGGTGCCACCCCTCACGCAGATCCGCGGGGTCAGGGTCCAAAAACACAGGGGATTTGCCACATTTCTGAAATTCGAACCCTCACGCACATCCATCGCAAAGCGTGGTAACCCAAACTGCGAGTACTCCCTCGGCCCTTTAATCCCAAGGTGTGGTAACCAAACTCGTAAACCATACACGTCTTACCAATCGCCCTGTGTGGTAACCCCTCTTGTGATCAGTTGGTTTTGCCGATTGCGAATCGGCCTCGCATGAAGTTCCGATACTGCTGCACGACAGCGCCAAAGCCTCATGACTTAGCTCTTCCATGGCCCATTCTCCGAGAGAGGGGGCCGGCGGCAGGGGGCGAAGCCCTTACGGATAATTGTAACATAATCATCGCAGAAGGTTCGAATCCAAAATCGGCATAAAATCCGGATATTGTCTTGCTGTTCGTCGGGGTTCGGAATCCCGTACGGCAGCTCCATCGTCATCGTCGTCGCTTTCTATTTCGCTCATGGCGCCCATATCGCCAGCTAGCATGCCGTTTGGTTGGCATGGACTGCCAATTGGTGCAGGGCAGCCTCTGATCGGAGTTGGTGATCTCGGACGTCCAAGACCCAATCTATCCAACGCGCGCCCAAGTTCGGAAGGAACCTCTCCAATATCGCCTGTCAGTTGTCCGTCCTGCAGCCCTTCTTGCGGCAGGCCAAATGGTATAGGAGCGGTTGGTGGTTGGGGTGGTAGTGCGTGGGGTTGCGTGTCGTGGGAGTGGGGTGGGGGGAACTCATTAACTCTTGTCGGATCGCTGGGCTGGGGGAGCCCTGGTGGAGGAGTGGGCGTGGGCTGACTTTCGATGGGACTTGGGCAGCCTGGGATGGTAGGCCCGCCAGAGGGCACTGGGCGCGTGGGGTGGTCATCACGTCGCGGGGGCGGAGGTCCCGGGGAGGGGAGGGAAGTGACACGTTCGCTCCGGTGATCGCCGCATGGGAGCTCTGAGGCGGGCCTTGGCAACGCAACAACGCAACTCATCAGGCCCAAATGGTTCCCTTGGGGGCCCTTGGAGGAGGCTCATAATCAGCTTTGCTTGGAGATAATATGGTTCCGGCCCCAGGGGCTCGTCAGAGGGGATGCCCAAGCCACGGTGACCAAAAGGGCCGGAGTTATTGAGGGCGGCGGTCGGGATTGGGTGGACAAATGAGTATAGAGTAACGGTGGGGAAGTGGGGAGGGGGAGGCGGACCGCACACAATCGTAGTAGGTGGTGGTTGCAATTGTTGTCGTGGCGGTTCGTGTGCTCGATGTGGTACTGGACGTCGTAGGTTTGGCCCGCCTCTGTTCGTAAGTCCTTGATCTGTTGGCCCGAACCCCAGAAGTTACAACGCCCAGTCGAGACCAAGTGGTCCCGGGTTCGAAGCTTCTCCGAACCGAAGCGTTTTCCACATGCTGGTGAAAAATGGTACGGTCGGTTGTGCTTGGCAGCTAGTCGTAAGCACCATCGTCGTATTTACACTGATATGTATAATTTACCTGTGCAAGGATAGTGGCGCCAATTGTAATGCGTTTGCACACGCATCGAATGCCGCCACAAATATCGTAAGTGAAGAATACCCGGTACCCAAATATCGGTAATATTCTCGGAGCGTCCCATATGTACAAATAGTTCGTCCGCACTTGGATGTCGTGGATCGATGGCGCGACGGACATTGAATATATATCGTGCACATTTTTTTGGTTTGAACCAGGTTGGACGACAAACACCAAACTCGCAAAAGGGCCTGGGTGAAACCACGGGCGCAGCCAGTAGCCTAAGCAGCGTCAGGAGGAGGAGGAGGAGGAGGAGGAGGAGGAGGAGGAGGAGGAGGAGGAGGAGGAGGAGGAGGAGGAGGAGGAGGAGGAGGAGGAGGAGGAGGAGGAGGAGGAGGAGGAGGAGGAGGAGGGAGGAGGAGGAGGAGGAGGAGGAGGAGGAGGAGGAGGAGGAGGAGGAGGAGGAGGAGGAGGAGGAGGAGGAGGAGGAGGAGGAGGAGCAGGAGGAGGAGGAGGAGGAGGAGGAGGAGCAGGAGGAGGAGGAGGAGGAGGAGGAGGAGGAGGAGCAGGAGGAGGAGGAGGAGGAGGAGCAGGAGGAGCAGGAGGATACTGAATACTGAAACTCCGAGGAGGATGGTGGCTCAACCTGATCACACCAACAGCTCGAGGCCCTGGTGCGTGCAACACATTGCACAACCTTCGGCGACTTTGCCAGGCCTGAAAACAAACTAACCTGAGGCAGCTTGCTCTTTCAGACGAATTCTCTCGGCGAGGGCAGCCATCCTGGACTCGTAGGTCGGGGGGCCCTCGGACACAGGAGCTCGGGAAACGCGTGTGGTCTCAAACTCAGGACGCCTCACAACACAAGAAACGGACTGCAGAGCTGGGAGGGCAGCGTCCACCTGGCGAGCGAGCCCCGTGTGGGGGCCAACTCCGTTACGCAAATTCACAAGGACCTCAAGCCCCTTCCTGGTGGGGGGCTCGCAAGGTCGTCTTAATTTGTTCCTCCTGGACTGCTGAGCCCAGGCCCCGCACTTAGTACACACGTACACTGGGCGGCAGCAACTTGGGTCCGCAAGGGACTTACCCCCCTGATTCACAGCAGCGAGCGTGTGACCGAGAGGGGTACGCACAAAACTGTCAAGATACTTAGGCATGCCTCCACAACCTGACAAGGGCTTATCATGCGTGTCATGCGCTATACACAAACACTTACTACATTGCTCGCCAATCACCGTGCGACGCCAATCGTGCCAACGAGTGCGCTGAACATGTGCAGCGCGCCGTGCCACCGTCAGCCGTGCCCAACGCTCCTCTCTGTCGAAAAGGGCAGCACGGCGGCAACCAACTAAACAAAGCCACTCGCAATGCGCAGCCGTGTCTCCAGCTGCACATCAAGCTCATGCGGCACGGACTCATGCAGCTGGACCGCGCGCTTGGCGTAGGCGTCGGCAACGACGTTGGCGTCGGTGAGACGCTTATCAAAATCAGGCAACTCAGCAGATTGGTCAGCAGATCGATGTGCCTTTACATGCGACACAGACCGAATGTGATGAAATCCAAGCATCTGCTGACCAAAAAGCTTGACACAACCGTATCGCGCACCAGGCCGCAACTGCTGTTCAGGGCTCTTGGTGGCCTCAATCACAGCAGCCATGTAGCCAACGAAAACGTCTGTCGGCCGATCCACCACTTGCCCGACATATGCCAGCGCCAAGTGCTCCGCCATGGCTGAACGCTGCGGCAGGGAGCCAGGGACTGCACCGTACATCACACGGAGCGGCGGATTGCCGCTGGGGTCCAACAGCGCCAAGGCCCAGCCAGCGCGGCGAGCAGCTGCAAGAAGCGGCACGCTGCAGGAACCATCCACTGCAATCTCCACGGACGGGGCGCTGGGGTCGATGATGTTGCAGCGGGTCTCAGGCTCACAATCTGCTTCGTGACCAGCCGCATCAGGTAGGTGGACAGTCGCGCCGCTATCAAGCGGTGGCAGCAGGCGCTCATCGGGCGAAGGCCCCCGTGACGTAGCGCAGATCCCCTTCAACTCCATGACCCTCCTGGATGAAAATCGGGCTGACTCCGCTGTCGGAACGAGCCGCGACTACGTCAGCTCGCGTGCAGGAGTCGAGCCTGTGGTGGGCAGTATCAGGCTGCCCGCAACTGCAGAGGCCGCTGGCGTCGTACCCACGCTTTTGTGCCCGCCGTCGTGTCCACAAACCCTCACGTGCACAAGTACGAATGAGGAACTTCTGATACTTAATGTACTTGGCCGTGCGCGCGCGGACCGCGCCCTGAATGAGGCCGAACGTGACGCGAACTCCCGCAGGCAACTCCCATTTGTCAGCTAGTTGACATTCAAGCATCCGCTGCATCGCCGCGCTGAGCAGGTCCTCCACTACGGCTGGAGAGAGCTGGTCAACTCGCACCTCTTGGTCCAGATGATCACGCCAGAGGGCACCGCTGTGCGTCGTCCAGCCGACGCGCTCAAGACAAAGAGCCGCTCGCTCCAGTGGCCCACGTGACTTAGCCCAGCTGAAAGGGCGGCCCAAGAACGTAACAGCATAATCCCACCACAGCAAGAGATCTTTCTGCGATACAAGCGCACGCTCAGGATGGGTAATAGCTTCCCATAGCATGCGACAGTACTGAATGACTGGCGCGATAGCCTGTCGGATGGCGGGGTCCCCGTCCAGCGCCAACTTGGCTGTGGCTGACGTACCCCCGTGGTGAGGTTTGACCTGTCGCCCGTACGCACGGCGAAGGTCGCCGAGCTCTGCATCAGTCAGGCCGTTGACTTCAACTCCGCACGTGCATGCAGGGCGCGCGCCAGTGCGGTAGATCCTGCCAAGGCGAAGGTCCTTCTTCACAGGGATCGCCTTCTTGTGCTTGGATAGCTTGCGCATCCGCCTCTTGTGCCGAGCCAGACGAGCCCTCTGCTTGGCGCGAGCTCCTGGGGCCTGACGAACACGACCAGCAGAGTAATCGACGCCTAGGTAGGAGACAGCGCGCCTGACTGCCGCATCCTCGGACACATTCAACTGCATTGCAACTTCTCGCCCAATAGCAGCACTGGAAGCAACGATGACAAATTTGTCATTGATACGAGACCCCAGCCTCTTGGCCACCTGCTGAAAGTCACGCCCAGCCTGAACGGCAAGCTGGACGACACGCTGCGCATTGGTGTGATGCAGGCCGATCGCCGTGTCATCAATATAACCGGAAAAAGATGCCAGCGGGTGAAGGCACGCGTACCTGTCGTACTCCGCCAGCGCGTGAACTTTGATGGCGATATCGGCAACACCGTCACCAGCGGGCACTCCGCGCACTGCAAAGCCTGGAAACTACTCTCCATGGTGCCGTTGAGACCTGATGATCCGTGGGCCTCGCCATGTATTGAAGATGAGCTTAGTGAATCCAGTGGACACCTGCATCTGGTCGAACTTGAACTGCAGCTCGTCAAGGTTGATGCCCTCATAATACTTCGAATAGTCCGCTACCAGCGTCACAGAGTGCATCTTAGTAGACGCAGCCACTTCAGTCCGTGCCGCCAGCGCCCAAGCATTGTCGATCGCCGACCTGCCACTGGAGACACCCCAGTACTTGCGATCGAGAAAACGCTGCAAAGGCTCCAAATGCACACGCTTGGCGCGCTGCCAGACGCGGTAGCTGGCAGCGTAGACCACAATCGGAGGAGCAGGAGGAGGAGGAGGAGGAGGAGCAGGAGGAGCAGGGGGAGGAGGAGGATCACACCACTTCCAATTCCCCCAACCAGGGCGCATCCTCCAAGGGCGTTTGTGGGAGGTCGCCGTGAGGGTTCAAAAGAGTTCGGGCGACTGCGCGCTGAAGCCCTACACCTAAAATCCCACACCATCCGTGCAACAATCCTAACGCAGTCCCGCGCTGAATCCATGGGTGGAGCGCACGGGTACGTGCCAAGGCCAATTTAGGAATTAGTCCGATGGATTGCGCACTCCAGCGGCCATGCACTTCAGCCCCAAGCGATTGCAACGATCCCAAACAACTGGTGATCACCTCTTCGTGTGTGGTGTTGTTTTCCTGTTCTGCCCGATCCAGAAGACGGCCACCCACATTGCTGGTGCCAGGCCGAGCCCGGCCATTGGCTGAAATAGGCGACACAACCGTAGCATCGCAGAACAACGGAAGACCCCGGTCCACGTTGAGGCAGGCCACAATGAGGTCGATCCGGCGTCGGTCATGCAGTGGGACGAGGATGTTGGCTTGGTGTAGCATCTGCTCAACGTTTCGATCTGGACACATTCCACCAACTTCTAGGAATACTTGCCTCCATGATGCAACCACCTCCTTATGCCTAGTGTCCCACCGCCCCCCGACCCCAGAGGCCAGTAAAGCATGCCCATGGGGGTCGGGCCCTTCGAATTGCACTGCGATCCCCAGTCGTCGGCGCACGGCGCATTGCAACTCCGAGTTATTGAAGATTAGGGCATCTGTCGTCGGTGCAACGAGCAACCACCCAGCAGAAAATCGCCCCATCACCGATTGCAATCGAGCTTCGCCTGGCGAAGCCGCATTCGCCGGAGTACTCGGCAGACCAAGTACGCGTTTCAATTGTGCATGCGCTGTTTTTTCCATTGCGGACGATGCGCAAAATTGCCAGCCATGCTGCCATTCACCCAGCAAAGGCCCGTCCATCTGAGGCGGTTCCTGTGGTCGACCTCCCGCGGCAATGTTTGCCCACGTAGGTCTTCCCGACCATCCTTGCGCATCAGAATCGGCACCGGCTTGTTCTGCTGCGGCTAAACACGCAGGGATGTGGACTCCCGCGCGTAATGTTGTAAGATGGAACATGATATTTCGACCCAGGCTTGGGAAACGCTCCATCAATCCGGGTAGCACGTCAGCCCAACTACTCCAGTAAGCAGTCGGAGCAATACGTACTGAATTGCGCAGCCCCACCCCCCCCAACCGCAATGGTAATCGTGCTTGGGATACCCATGTATCAAAACCAACTCCGTGTAAGACAGTGTCCCAAGAGTCTTGATCAGGTAGTCCAAACAATTCCCTGAATGCGTTGAGTATGGCAACATCGTGTGGTTCAGCATGTGATCGGACGCTGTCCGGTGACATATTCCGCAACAGGTGGTTGAGTCGGGGAACCGCGCAATAGTAAAGCAATAACCAAGCATTCTGGAGAGAGGGGAGCTTAGGTAAGCAAGTTAACAGCTTCGCCCTCTTCTCGGCGATCTTCTCGCCGAACGCTTGAATATATTCTTTACTGCCGAACGGTGCCCCTAGAACCTGTACCCCTCGCTCCGGGAGGGGAGCGTCACATTTCCAAGCGTCAGGTGCTGCTCGGGCAAGGTCGGGGGGGCAAGGGGCAGCGCGGCGCCCCCATACAGCAAGTTTCCCCACATGCACATCAATGTGGCGAACTCGTCGCAATGCTTCCTGTTCCATGTGTAGGATGAGCGCTGCGTCCGTAGGGTCACATACCACATATACGTCGTCCAAATATGCCACAATCTCCGCGCCTGGCGGTAGCCTGCCGTGGATGTCGCACAGTGCAGGGTGCAGTGCCAAGCAGAAGAGGGCTGGCATTAATGCGCCCCCCTGTTCACCCCCATCCCCTTGCAATATCGTGTGCGTGCGCCCTTCCTCGTCGACCCACCTGAATTGAGTTTGTTCCTCGTACCATTGTCGTGCGACAGGGGCCAAGCCGTGCAAGCCCGGCGTAGCCAGGAGTTGTTCGAACATCCTAGCCCGACTGACATGGTCAAATGCTCCTACACCGTCGATGCTCAAGATTACCTTGTCGGGGTGGGCATCGGTCAAGTATTGCAGCAAATGCAATGCTGCGTCAGTCCCACTACGATTTGCAATGCCAAAATTGTGGGGCTCCACTGTCCGCCGCAGAATATCTTAGAATTGTTTTGCCAACGTTTTGGATGCCAGTCGCCGTAAAGTGTCTCCTGATGGAATTCCCCTTACTCTATTGTCTGGCTTGTTTAAAGCTGTTGGGACGAAACCCGGAAGGCATTGGCGACGCAATATGGTAAGTTTGCTCTGGCTACATGTTCCGCCACGTCACAAAGCAATTCACAAGACGTTGTATCTTCCAAGCGTAATTTGTAGTATTCGTATCGTGCTCCCCACATTCCTGCACTTAGACCTTTGCGCAACGTACGTAACACCTGCGCAAAAAAAGGTCGCGATCTAAAACCACAGGGTGGTGAGGCTGAAAATCATCCAGTCCTGCTGGGAATTATTCTGCCGGTTCTGCTGGTCGTAGTTGCGGGTCTTGGAGTTGGTCCAAAGTAGTCGCCGTACCTGGGGCGACACCTGGTGAAGTTAAATTTCGAGCAGCATGGCTCAGCTCGCCAATATCCGCCGGCCCCCTTGTGGGGCCACCAGGCTGTAGGCGCGGGTTCGCAGTTTCCAGTACCAGTTGTAGCTTGTAGTTTCCAGTGTTACAGTTCTGCTTCTTGCTGGTTACTGTAACTAGTTGATTGACCGCGCGACGGGGGGGGAGGCCCAAACCAGATTTTTAGCGTCTCCTGGGCGCGTTGTCTGAATTGCTGGGGGGGTTCGAAATCGACACCCCTCACGCAGATCCGCGGGGTCAGGGTCCAAAAACACAGGGATTTGCCACATTTCTGAAATTCGGTGCCACCCCTCACGCAGATCCGCGGGGTCAGGGTCCAAAAACACATGGGATTTGCCACATTTCTGAAATTCGGTGCCACCCCTCACGCAGATCCGCGGGGTCAGGGTCCAAAAACACATGGGATTTGCCACATTTCTGAAATTCGGTGCCACCCCTCACGCAGATCCGCGGGGTCAGGGTCCAAAAACACATGGGATTTGCCACATTTCTGAAATTCGGTGCCACCCCTCACGCAGATCCGCGGGGTCAGGGTCCAAAAACACAGGGATTTGCACATTTCTGAAATTCGGTGCCACCCCTCACGCAGATCCGCGGGGTCAGGGTCAAAAACACATGGGATTTGCCACATTTCTGAAATTCGGTGCCACCCCTCACGCAGATCCGCGGGGTCAGGGTCCAAAAACACATGGGATTTGCCACATTTCTGAAATTCGGTGCCACCCCTCACGCAGATCCGCGGGGTCAGGGTCCAAAAACACAGGGATTTGCCACATTTCTGAAATTCGGTGCCACCCCTCACGCAGATCCGCGGGGTCAGGGTCCAAAAACACAGGGGATTTGCCACATTTCTGAAATTCGGTGCCACCCTTCACGCACATCCATCGCACATTTTTGAAATTCGGTGCGTCGCAAGGCGTAACCCAAACTGCGAGAACTCCCTCGGCCCTTTAATCGCAAGGTGTGGTAACCAAGCCCGTAAACCATACACGTCTTACCAATCGCCAGGTATGGTAACCCCTCTTGTGATCAGTTGGTTTTGCTGATTGCGAATCGGCTTCGCATGAAGTTTCGATACTGCTTCACGGCAGCGCCAAGGCCTCATGACTTAGCTCTTCCATGGCCCATTCTCCAAGAGAGGGGGCCGGCGGCAGGGGGCGAAGCCCTTACGGATTTATCAGCTTAGCGGCCTGATCAAGTTGACGAGACATTGCATGAACTTCGGCATCGCCCCCCGTGCGCTTGCTGCGTTTCTTTTGACGGGCCTCTTGTCGGTGTAATTGTGTACGTGCCGACTCAAGAAGAACATCCCATTCCCCACGGTCAAAAGCTGCGATACGTGATTTGGGTCCCCTAGTTCCAGCATCCCCTCCATGGGGCGTGTTGTGGAGGAGCATCCGAGGAAGATGTAACAAGAGCATCCAAGATGTAATGCAATCTCCTTCCGTGCACCTGCCTTGCACCCACCCTGTTTTCATTCCAGCTACTGCTCCCAAGCATTGTGTAAGTATACGCAAGTATTGGGCACGTATGCATTTCGGCACAGCCTTCATAGTGTGTATACGGACGTCGATTTCGGTTTGAAGGTCCACATTGCGCATCTGCCTCCATCCGTTTGGCAATCTCCAGATTCCAGGCGGGAGGCCCGGAACAAGATCTTGGTCTCCTTGAGCAAGCATCGGTGGAAGATCATCGTCCCGCGCTGCTGCCCACATCAACTGCACATTGAAGAAAGACCATCGGTACTGTCGGATACGAGCACGCACGTCGTTTGGTGACGTACCAATCGGCATTTGATCAAGCTTTTCCATCAGTATATAAACCGATCCGCGGATAAATTGTCCTGGTGCTAGATCCTGAGGTGGCTCGGGCTCCTGAGTGTCTTCGCGAGCTCCCGTGACCATGAAGTCTTCGTCACCATCGTCTTCATTATTGTTCATGGCCCCAATGTCGCAGGCAGATGGTGCCGCTAAGCCAGCAGGATCTTGGGG